ATACTAAGACATTAAACTATATTTCTCTACCGCCGCGAATACTCCAGGACGCAACAATTATGACTCGGATTAATTGAATTTATTTCTCATATTAATTAATTAATTTTTAATTAAATATAAGGCCTAAGTAAGACCAATAAAATAAAAATGAAAGATCTTAACTTCTGGTGCGACATCGGGCGGGCCAAAGAAGACGGTCCGCCCATTAGCCAGAATACAAACTGATCTTAACAAGTCAAAGACCTCCGGCCCAGGCTGGTGCACGGCGGCTACGACGGTCATGTGGTCCCCACTCGCGGCCATCTTTGCGATCCGGTTGATGACGTGGAAGGAGGCGGCACTATCGAGCCCACTCGTCGGCTCGTCGAGAAATAAAAGCTTCGGCCGCTTTATAATCTCCATGCATATACTTACTCTTCTCCTCTGCCCCCCACTTATCCCTTTCGTGACTCGGCCGCCAATCCGTACGTCGGCGACCGCCGACAGCCCCATCTCCCTGATCGCCTCCTCCGCTCGCTCGCGCTTAGCTGAGCGGCTCAGTGAAGAAGGGAGTTGTAGCTCGGCGGCGTACTGTATGGCTTCTCTTACTGTTAAGCTCGTCATTAAGACGTCATCTTGGGTCACATAAGCCTGATTAAAGTAATTAATCACCAAATATAAATCATTAACTAATTAAGTTTTCACGATGAAGGGTTGTAATTAAGGACGTTTTTAGTAAGCTTACTGAGATGCCGTAGGCGAGGACTTGCTTGCTGCCATTGATGAGGATATCTCCACTCTGGCTAAGATTCGGTGCCAATCTTCCTGTAGCCAATATAATATCTTATATTAGCTCTGAATTAGAACACATTTAAGGCTAATCCAAACTACTAATTTCAATTATAAGCGCTTCAAGTAACCGGTTTAACAGGCGATTTGCTTGCTATGTGATTTATTAGGCTATCTCCAAGGGAAAAAACTCTTTTTTCGCTTCAAAAATAAAGTAATACACCAATATTATGCATTAACTTGTTTCCAATCGAATTCTATTTTGTAAAATCAAAAAGAGAATATTTCTAGTATATTCTTTCTCATACTTAAAATTTTAAAATTAATAACTAGTTTTTCGAATAAAAAAAAAACATATAGCCAGTGAACAGTGCAATTGGCATCACATTGTTTACCCGCAAGCAAATAGCGGAAGATTTGACATTCGGCTTGAGCAACCGAACAACGTCATAGACATATTTGGAGTTTTGGTTGAAAGCTGTCCCAAACGAAGCCTAAAGCTATCGCTTCAAAAATAAAGTAATACACCAATATTATGCATTAACTTGTTTCCAATCGAATTCTATTTTGTAAAATCAAAAAGAGAATATTTCTAGTATATTCTTTCTCATACTTAAAATTTTAAAATTAATAACCAATTTTTCGAAGTAAAAAAAAAAAATATAACTAGTGAACAGTGCAATTGGCGCCACACTGACGTTCACCCGAAAGCAAATAGCGGAAGATTAAACGTTCGGCGTCATATACATATTTGGAGTTTGGTTGAATACTGTCCCAAACGAAGCCTAAATCTAATCCAAACTTAGCTGTATAAAACAAAACCCGGCTTTTGCATGTAATAAGATTTTTTTTTTAATTTTAGCTATATGCCTATATCACATGTTTTTTATATATAATTAAGTACTATTTTATAGTAAAACTATTTTTTTAGCTCTCATTAAAATAATATTTTTAGCTTTTTTTAATCTAATTACAAATTGTAACAAAAATAAAATAAAATAAAATAACTTGCTCCTCATTCTACTTGTAAATTATTATGAAAAGAATGCATTTGATGAATATAAAAATTTGAATAAATCCCATAAACTGAAATAAATCAACAAATTAAGGTTACCAGCAAGCGAGTCCAGAAGCGTTGACTTGCCGCATCCCGATGGGCCCATAATTGCAAGCACCTCTCCTGGCTGGGCCAGCCCGGTAAGGCCCGAAAGCACCGGCACGCGCTCTCCTTTATGACCCGAAACGAAAACCCATAACTTCTCCCATGTAAGGAACACGGCGTCCGCTTCCGGCGACAAAGGCGTGCCACTCTCGCCGGATGTTTCACCCCGGCGGCGATTGAGCAGAGGGACAGGCGAAGAAAACGTGCCGCTGAATGGAAAGGGGGAGCCGCCGGAATAGTTTTGTGGACGAGATGGACTTGGACTTGGGGACCATCTGAGAACGTTGGCCGGAGAAGCCATGGAAGGTTGGACAAGAGAGATGGATTTAAAGTGGATATTTAGCTTCTATAGATGTGGATGGTGAAGTATTTAGTGCTCTTTCTGTGGAATTGAATTCATAAATATACAGAACAAGCGGTATACAGCTTGCAAGCATTGTAATGAATATCTTTTCATTGAAGAATATCTTATAATTAATGTAATCCAATTCATTATGTAGACTTAAGTCTATAAATAAGAGGCATCAATGCCTCATAAGATGCGACTTTCTTCTGTACTTTAGCCTCTTTTTTTTTTTTTTGGAAAAATATCTATTTTGTCTTTGTTAATCATTAGATCAAAACAGAAGCTAAAACATAATGCAATGAATAATCCTCGTGTTCTTTACGTTCCGTTGCTTTTATTTTCTTGTGTGTTTCTCTGAGGTGTTTTACTCTCATCCCCAATAATTAATTTGCCTAAATTGGCTCAATTGTCTCATAAAAAATCTAAAAGATGCAGACTTGGAATCTCTAAGGTTCTACTCTTGTTGAGGTAATGAGCTCATGAACAAGAGTTTTAATTAAGGCAAGGTAGGAGTGTTAATTAAAAAAAGTTTGTTATAAATAGTGGATTTTATTAGATGTCTTAGGCTTCGTTTGGGACAGCTTTCTTACTGCTTCTTAAAGTAGCTAGCTTTTAGCACAAAAATTAAAATTTTGTTACTAAAAAGTTGCTTTAAGAAGCAGTAAGAAAGCCGTCTCAAAATAAGCCTTAGACTTCATTTAGTATAACTTTTTTAATGCTTCTTAAAACAATTTTTAAGTACAAAAAATAAAGCCTTATGAAGCAGCAAGATTCTTGGATCAAAATGAAGCATTAATTAAACTAAATTATTTAAAACAAAAACTAAATCAAGACTATTTTGACTTCATTTATAAGCACATAAAAAATGAGTTCATTTGGCCCAATAAATTTTAACGTGAGAAGTTTTCAATGAGTATAGTTATTTGAATACATGGATATTTTGATATTTGAAAATTTACGTGGATAAAAATTTAAAATATATATAATATGTAATCTAATTACGTACGTGGATAGTATTTTGAATGTTAATGCATGTAGTACTTTATATACAACTTTATGCATAAAAATTAAATTATGAGCACATTTTTATATGAGATAATACCACATTTATTTCGTATAATATAATGCACACTTAGTTGTCTCAAATAAAATCCCATATAATATGCTTATTAAATTTTAGCTATAGTTATTATTTATAAAGTATAATTAAATACTATTTTCTAGCAAAACTATATTTCAAGTTCAAAAGAAACAAAAAACTGGCTGCTAATTCTAATTTTCAATAATTATGTAAAAATACATTTTATGAATATAAAATTTTGAAAAAAAAAAATCAAATAAACTGAAATCAATAAATTCGGAAATGACTGGCAAGCGAATCCAAAAGTGTTGACTTGTTGCATCCAAATGGGCCCATAATGGCTAGCAACTCTCCCAGATGGGCTAGCCCAGCCCATTAAGAATGTCACAAATTTTGGGAGGATCAAATTGTGAGAGAAGCGGAATTTCTTGGAACGGAACCGAGAGCTACCTAGAGATATGCGTATTTGAAAGATAGAAAATAGAAATCTTATTATTAAAACTGTGTACAAAGGAATTTATAGACGTTAAGACATGAGTAAAAAACGTAATATTATGTATACAAATGAGTAAATATATAGATGCTCTGTCAGCCTCCCTCAAGTGAAGCATTCATTTGATTGAATGGTTAACTTGTGTCTGAGCTCAATGAAACGGGAGACCGAAAGTGGCTTGGTTAAGATGTATGCAATCTGGTGTTGAGACGGTATATGCTGGATCTGAACATCGCCTGATGCTATGTGTTGTCTGATAAATTGATAATCAATCTCTATATGCTTTGTCCGAGCATGAAAGACTGGGTTTTTGGCAATGGCGATGGCTGAGATGTTGTCACTGTGTACCGAAGTAGGAAGTTTCTGCTCTATTTGAAGTTCCGCTGCTCACACGATCGATGTACAATTCCCTGTTCTTGTAGAAAAGAATTAAAAGACTTGTTAAAGAACTCACCGCCACCATCGGATTGAAATGATTTGGGTGTCTTTCCGAATTGGTTTTGTATAAGAGCGCAAAACGCTTTAAATTTAGAGAGCGTTTCGCTTTTGTTATGCATGAAATAAAGCCAGGAGTGCCTGGAGTAATTGTCAATAAAAACAACATAGTATCGAAATCCGTTAGTAGAAGAAAAAGGAAATGGCCCCCATACATCCGAGTATATGAGATCGAAGGGAGCAAATGTAACCGAGCTACTTTTATTAAAGGGAATTCTATGGCTCTTGGCCGTATTACAAGAATTACAGTACGAAATAAAAGAGCTATCAATCGTAATCGGTAGGTAGCGAGCAATGGAATGTAGAGTTCTATTGTTCGGGTGACCGAGCCTTGCGTGGCAGAGATGCGAGGATGTGATCTTTGTTTGAAGAGCCATTTGTTTTTCAGCCTTCGAGGTGCAAATTTGGTAAAAGACCGTTGCTAAGACATCCACTGAGAAGTAGACGATGATCCTGAGAATCTTTCATTTCAAATCCATTAGCATGAAATGTGATGTATATAGAATTGTCAGCATTTAATTTTGAGACAAAGAAGATTGTGAGTGAGTTCAGGTACGTGCAAAAGATTGTGTAGGTGTAGCTTACGCGCATTATCGGGTAGAGGAAGCAAACCGTGACCGGAGTGTTGGATCGGAACGGATGATCCGTTGGCTACAGAGATAGAATCTTGGCCGTTATAAGCGGAGGGAGCTTGAAGATTTGAGCTATCTGGGGTCAGATGAGACGATGCACCCGTATCCAAGATCCAGTCCTGTGTTGGGTAGGAGGATGGTTGAGCGAACATGGCTCTCAGATTGTGACTCATTGTAGGAGCGTACTTTAGGTCACAACGATACCAAAAATTGATGGCAATATGTCCTGTTTTGCCACAGATTTGGCAGACGAGACGTGTGTTTCCGTTGGATGGAAGATTACTGTTGGACGAAGTACTGGCCGAGTTGGTGTAATTGTTGTTCTTGTTCTTGATTGAGCGTTTGTAGTTGCGATTGTGAGATGGATTGTTAATTAGGAGCAGCATACAGAGCCAGCGCAGTGACAAGTTGATCTTTGACCGCATCCTGATTGATATGTATTTCTTCATTACACAGAAGCGAATAAAGATTGTCCAAGTCCGCCGGGATCGGAGATGTGCATATAGATGTTTTGAACGAATTGTAGGTAGGAGGAAGACCATTTAGTATGTACAGGATGATGTCTTCCGGATCAACCTCGGATTCGGAGGCAACAATACTATCCACGATATTCTTGATCTGTGAAAGATACTGCTGCATTGTTAATTCCTTCATGTGGATATGATGGAGCCCGTTCTTGAGCTGCATCACGCGAGATCGGCTAGACGGTTGTAAGCAACGCTCGAGAGTCATCCAGACGTCTTGAGCGGACGTCGCCGTGATGACATACGGTAGCAGTGAAGGAGAGATTGTGGAAAACAAGGCCGAGAGGAGAGTGCTGTCCACGAGAGTCCAATTTATACAAGCAGAAGTATTGGCTTCGGGCGGCGACGATGAGCTACCGGAAAGATGTCCGGCGTATCCTGTTGCAGTAAACTGTTGAAGGATTTGGATCCTCCATATGGCATAATTTTCGGAGGTTAGAGGATGAGGGATCAGATTCTTGATGATATTAGAAACCAGGAACTTCAGAGATGCCGGAATAGAGATCTCGGCAGTGGTGGTTCCGGCGAGAGAAGAGGAGGGAGGGAGGGAAGAAGTTGAATCTTGATCCCCCATTAGGCTCTTGATACCATGTGAGAGAAGCGGAGCTTCTTGGAACGGAACCGAGAGCTACCCAGAGATATGCGTATTTGGAAGATAGAAAATAGAAATCTTATTATTGAAACTGTGTACAAAGGAATTTATAGACGTTAAGACATGAGTAAAAAACATAATATTATGTATACAAATGAGTAAATATATAGATGCTCTGTCACAAATAGCTTGCAAATCTTGTATGCTTATAGTGGAAATGAGCGGCTGGATAAAACGATCCAAAATCACTTGAATTTGAGTAATTAAAGGACTTAAAAGTTGAATTAATTGTCTATGATCAAATAATTTGATATAAGCCATCCGATGGGGTGTTATGATATTTTAACTAAATTTATTAGAGTGCTTACTCTAAAAGTATTATAAATATATCTACATTCCCTACATTAAGGGAACCAACGATCACCTCCAGTGAACGTTATTGCATGACTGTCATTATCCAACCACCATTGCCTGACTGCCTTTGTCTGATCACCATTACTCGATTGTCATCATCCTACAACCAATTACGATCACTTGACTTTCATTGTCAAACTTCCATTGCTCAATTATCGTTGATATGTTATGCAAAAATTATCCTGATCGGACACGAATCTCGAGGCAAAATGCTAGTTGGAAACTTCAAAATTTGATTTCGGGAGCATCCGAACTCCGATTTCAACGAGCTTACAGTCAAACTGAGCGTCTCGGAAATACGAACCCAACGACACCAAGATC